GGGCGGGGCTTGGGGAGTCGTATCTTGCGCAGAGGCTGGGCCTTAGGGGTCTTCCCGCAGCGAGCAGCATTCCAAGCCCAGCCAAGAGCAGGCGCCCCGTCCCCGCCCCCCCCACCCCCACTCCTGACCCCTTACTCTGGGCCTTCACCCTCCGGCTGCCGACCATGCGCAGGTGCTTTCGGAAGTTCCTGGGGGAAGAGGGGCACGGGGGCTGCTGAGGGCTGCGAGGGTGAGCGGCGGCCCTGCCCCTCCCGCTCCCTGCCCTCGCCCCCTTGAGAGATGCCCTCCCAGCCCGGACCCTCCTGCTGGCTCAGCGCCCACCAGAGGCAAACCCCACCCAGTCCCTCTCCTACTGAGGCCCTTCCAGACCTCCCTTAGCTGCCTGGACAAAGGCACAACACCAGGCCCTCCCTTGCCCCCTCCATCCCCTGGTGCAGGGCACGCAGTGCCCACCTCCATGGCACGCCCTCCCACCCCGCACGGCCAGGCTGGCCTCCCTCCCCAGGGTCAAGGGCTCCTGCGCTCAGTGGCAGGGCCACGTCTGCACCACCCACAGGGGGTTTGGGCCTGCAGACCACGCCCCTCCCCTGCTCAGAGGCCTGTCTCCGTTGCCTCCTGACAAGGCCGGCTTCCGAAACGGACAGGCGGCCTCCTGGCCACATCTGAGGTGAGGGCCGGGAGGGTCAAGCCTTGCCACTGACCCCACAGCTCTGGCTTCATTGTGCCCCCAAACGAAAGCCTGGGGCCCAGGCCACGTGCCCTCTCCTGCCTGCTGCGTCCCCAGAGCAGGGCCAGGCCAGTGGTCGCCACCGCCCTTCCCCCATCCGGTCTGCGGGGGCCTCGGGGGCCCAGGCCAGACCAGCACCGACAAGAGACGGACCCTGGTGGCGAGTGGCTGGCAGGCCCTACCTCTGGATTACGGACGCGGAATCACTCTCCCGTTTCCGGCGCTTCCTCTCCGCGTAGCCCCTGAACACCCTGGGAAACCGGGGAGTCAGCACTGCCTTTGGCCACGGGCAGAGGGACAGACATGGGGACAGAGGCGAGAGCACAGGGGCCGTGGGCCGTCCGGGGCACAGGCCCTGGCAGAGGGTCCCGCCTGCCTCGCCCTGGCCTGGCCCCTAGCGGGCCGCTGCCGCCTCGGAGCTCTGGGGAAACGGCACTCCTCACAGTCGAGGCCCAGTGGCTGGCCTGCCCCAACCTATTTGCGGGGTTGAAGGGGGGGGTGCTCCCAGGGACAACTGCCTGCCCCAGGTGCAGGTCCACAGGGTACTTACGAGATGCTGGAGGCACGGCCGAAGGGCAGCGGGAGAGAGAAGACACAGTGAGCCTTGACCCCTCACCCGCCATGAGGCGCCCTGCGGTCATCCCTCCCCAGGCCACACCACCCAGCGCCGGTGCTGCACGCTGTGGGCCGCGCCACCAGGTGCTGTGGCCTGCTAGCCCTGGGCCCCGAGGGTGTGGTGGCCCCACTTCCCGGCCCAGGGCAGGGAGCCTGTGTGGAGCACAGGACAGCCAGGGGGCCCCTGGGAAGAGCCCGGACAGAGGACAGAGAGCCCAGCTGTGTCTCAGGCGCAGAAGGGCAGACCCCGGAGCCCTAAGTTGTCCCTCGTGGGGCACATGGACCACCAGCAGGCCGCTGTCTGGGGTGCAGTGAGGCAGAGCCTCGTGGGCAGAGCTGGGTGACACGGGCTGACGCCTACTCTGGACAGGAG